GTGTGTGTGTGTGTGTGTGTGTGTGTGTGTGTGTGTGTGTGTGTGTGTGTGATCAAACCATGCCAACATCCCAGTGACCCCAATTTGTTGTGCCTGGAAGCGACAGGAACATAGTTGACCCCGGGTCAGTTCTCATCCAGTGCTCCGTAAACTGAAAGTGACTGAGGGAGGGACAGCTGGAAAAGAGAAAGAGAGGGGTAGTTGAAAAAGTAGGGGGGCAAAGCTAGTGGATGAACTAAGTAAGTCCGGGCCAATTTAAATGCTCTTAAAATCTGTGATAAATAAAGATAATGACTGTAATGATGAAAGATTACAGTCATAAATGCAGTGTACCCAGCAAATAATGCTCAGGTTGAAGTGGGGATGTGGCAGAGTTTAACTGCTGCCGCGCCGACATTTGAAGGGCCGGTTACAACATCACAAGCAAAGCTTCTGCTGCTTTTAATAAAAGCTTTTTAACAAAAGGTTGCTTGGATATAGTCGCGCATCTCCGATAATAATATCATTAGAAGACCGTATAATAACAAGAGTCAATATCTGGCTCTATTCAAAACAACAAACACACAAACATTTGCTCTTTTACTTCTGGAGTGTTTTGCCATTCTAAATACACCACACGCCTGCCCTTCTTTTTGCAAACATATTCATAGACTACAGCTTTCTTGTGGTGCTTGCTGCACTTAGAATTTCACAACATTGAATTGAATTGAACATCCCTTTCCAGGAACACTTTTCCTTAGCATATTCCACAGACTACATATTTCATAGACTACCGAGTCTTTTTTCTGTGGAAGCACTTTATACAGAAAGAAAAAGTCCTTTGGAAAACGTGGTCCCTGGATTATTTGTGTAAGAGGACTCTGTGATGAGACATTGCTGTGGAATTTTTAAATTAAATTTCCAAAGACGTGAGCACTGCAACAAAATTCCATTTGCCGTCACCTCCATTTTATTGGGTATTGCAATAAATCTCCGAACGTAACTCAGCACCTGGGGAAATGAAACTATCTGTATGGCTGTGAACATCTAGAGTTTGTAATTTTGTTGAACTGATCCTTTAATTTGACTTTGCCTTTCTGTCAAACATCAGGTGAACCATGGTACATTTTTTTTACTCTAACCTAACCTAAAGGAATAGCTTCCCACTTTTTTATCTCAGCCCATCCACCACGATCCCTCATCAGTCATTCTTTTGCTTGCTCTTCTCTCAAGTGCATATTCTCTATCTAACTTCTGAGTCTTTCATTTACTCCCTCATTCCCTCATGTCTGGCCCGTTCATTTTCTCTTTCTCTCCCTCTCACACACACATCAGTGCCTCCGACACACCAGCCCAGCTCCTCTGCTCCCATTGCAATTACATTTCATTTGCTGCCGTTCCTCCCGAGTCACTCCCATAAATGACTCTGCTCAGCCCGTGGTGGGTGTTTTGGTCCTGTTAATTATGCTTGTCTCTCTTTGAGGGGAGAAGTACAGGTAAATTAGACCAGAGAACCTGTGAGCCATGGCCCCATATCATCCCCACCTGATGTGGGGGCTTCCTGGTCCTAGTCAAACTACAAAATAGTGTCACATCAAACAGCGATAGTGGCCTTGAGGTCTAATACCTGGGGCCTTATTTGTTAGCTTCAGCGTTTGGTTCAAAAAACACAGCTCTTCACTTTTCACTCCAGGGTGATTTGTTCCCTAGCCTCTGGTGGGATTTTGAAGGGTCTGACATATTTAAAAACTGGTGTGCACAGTCCTGTTGGGTTTTTAACATGTTCTAAATTTCTGAATTATGAGAACTTAAACCCCCCATTACTCATAAAAGTATTTATTATTTTTATTGTTAATGGTTGTTTTCACAGAATGCAATCTCAACCATTTCCTGTCCTTAGAGGATATGACACAAATCTGACTGCTGCTGTAACTAGAACTACTGACAGCGGTGTCAGAATGTGATAGAGCATTATTCCTTATCTTGCACAGACCACCCGTCTCTTTATATACCTTGCCTCTCTTACCAAGCCACCTTCTCTTTCGTGCCACTGCTTTCGTCCATTTCTGTCCATTTATGTGACAGAGGGCAGGACATCACTCACTGTATCTTTCTGACTCACTGTCATCAAGCCTCAGGGTAGGAGATGTAAAGTTGAGGGTGTGGGATAAGTTGCTTAAGTTGAATGTGCTGACCACAGTTGTTTTAAAAAGGACATGCCATATCCTCAAAAGACCTTGTGTCTTGCACCTCCCTAATTATTTACTGTAGGTGTGTCTGAAAGTGCAGAAAACTTTCTAGTTGACATTTTGAAAGTTCTAGATGAAAAAGCTTTGAAATAGATTACCTGGAAAATGCCATAGGAGTGAATCACTGCTGAGCATGCCAAACATGACTGGGTTTATTGCTGTTGCAGTGCAGTATTGCTCATATGTCTATAAAGATTCGCTATCGCCTAGGTCAGAGAATATTAAGTAGTAGTAAACAAAAGAAAAAAACAATCTGAATCTAAATTTGCTTTGTAGTCTTGGAGAAAATGTGCTGTTCATCTATCAGGCTTCATCAGTTCTACTGACTGGTGAGGAGTTCCTCTCTGTTTAATCGCCCGAAGAAGTTAAATACCACATAACCCCCCCAAGAGTCAGTAAAACTAATTAAGCCTCTTGGATGAGTGGTGAAACATTCTCACGAATATGAAGTAATTCCAGTCGCCTTTCACTCACTGTGCTCAGATGCATGTGACAGCTGTATCAGCAACAGCTCTAGTGATACGCAATCACTGCTGTGGGCATGATATGTCACACTGCTGTATGTAGAAAGTTATACATCTTGCCTGTTTGTTGTTGTTTGTCTTCTTTTAATTCCAAACAAAATGCTTTTGAGAGCCTTGGTTGACTTTTAATACAACAAAGTCTACTTACTTTGCTATTTTGGAAACTTTCAGTTATACTTTAAGGTCTTGTTTAGCATATGGACCTTGCTCAAAGGGTCATCAGATGACCCAAGGAGAGAAGGCACAGCATTCTCAAAGGGCCTTTCTGATAAAGCCAGTTTAAAATGGAAAACTGTCAAATAGCTGATGTATGCTATCTGGTGGTAAAGAAGCATTTAAGAGGCTTTACATAAGTAAAAGGATAGAAACAGCAGTGTAAAAGGAATAGCCTGTTACATAAATATATTTAGGCAATTGTACTCATGATAAGTTAAAGGCAGGAAATTAGTTCCCAATGACTATGTCATTAAATTATTATTACTATTAGCCCTTTTCCACTAGTACATACTCGAGTCAGCTTGGCTCAGTTTTTAGGATTTGAAGTGGTAGTACCTGGTACCAGGTACTTTTTTCACTACTTACTTGGGTCGAGAATGCATCCAACGATTGGCTACTCAGTGGTAACCCCTAATGAGTCATGAGAGAGTCTCCTTCACAGAAATCAAAGCCACCATTTTTGAAACCTGTCTGATAAAAAGAAACACCGAGCAGCAGGTATACAATTGTCCTGACGTCCTTCGTTGTTGTAGTGTTCATGATGTCACAGGACAAAGGGACTGTGGCCGCATTGATATAACGGCCACAAGTACATTAGGTGGCACTCAATTGTAATGGAAAATGACTGAAACCAATCAAGTGGGTGTTATTGGAAATCCAATTTCTTCCGCTTATGCAGTTTTGGCTTTGGGGGGGTCAGGGTGAAGCCTAACCCAGCTGTCATAGAGGGAGAGGCAGGGTACACCTGTTGTAGTGCTAACACAGAAAAACAGACAGCCCTCCCATGCACACTGGAGCCAGTTAAATTTCAAATCACCAAGTTTCCACGTAGTCGATGACCTGGTCTACCTCCTGAGCAACGGCTACTCTTATGGTGCAAACCGCCCCATTATTGTTACTAATGTTACCTGTACCACCTTTAGCCAATATTGTCTTTTTTACACATTAGACATGGTGGTGCAACACTGTGTGAGGCCAATACAGACATAAAACAGTAGTACAGGAAACACGGATGAAATGTGACAGATCTGACTGATTTCTTTGATTTCTTTTAAATTGACCAATAGTGTGCCATCCAAGTACCATCTGCACATTTGGTCACTCTTCTTATGAGTTACATACATATTGTAGATGCACCAGTGAGTCCTGGTCTATTTCTTTGACTCCTTAGTAGATGGAGCTCTTTAATTCAATT